ATTATGTTACAATAAAGGAAATCAGAGACAAGGTTTTGAGAAGCAAAAATTGCATCAATGCGACTGGAAGTATTCGACCTTTTGAATGTGGGTAAGGGTGTATCATAACAAATGTCATATAAGTTCAAGAAGTTCCTAAGAACGAGATTATGTACAAGATCATACTTCCAAGGAATGGTTTTACCAGAATCAATAAGGCGTTGTAACTTGATTAGATTTGCATTGAAGTCACCCATAATGATAATATGAAAACCAGACTGAAAACTAATGTTGATAAGTCGTAGTCATGTTGTTTGGAGGGTTTTCCTTTCTTTAGATTCAGTAACATGAATATAAACTGAGAAAACTCTTAGTTTTATATTTCCTTTAAGGTAGAGATTAACATAAATATAACAATCATTATCCAAGAATTTTTTAGCAATATGTCTTGACCAAGATTTGCTGATGAGTAAACCAACACCTGAATACTTGTTAGTGACAGAACTCCATAAAGTATCAAAAAAAGGATCAGAGGAACATCTAAAAGATTGAGAAAATTGATGTCAGATTTCCGATAAAGTAGCAAAATTAACGTTTTTTTAGTGAAAAGTCTCTAGTATCTTGCTGTTTTTAACATCATCACGAAGAGAATGTACATTATGAGTAGCAAAAGTGAGGGTGTTTCTATTTAAAATTAATTCTCTATCATCACTATGTGAATTATCTAAGTTGTTGTCTATACTAAGGGTAAGTTGGTCACGTGATGAAAGTAAATTATGAGGAGGGGGAACATTATTATAGGCAGGAAGAAATTGATTATTATTGTTAATTAAATTTGTGGGGGACATTTCAGATAACAAAGTATTATTCGTTGTATTAATCATTTAAAGAATGTAAAAAATAGGTATATCTAATTTTGAGACTGGCTAACATCAATTGCGAATTGTTCGATCTGTTTGAACATTCTATTCATCTGTCTTTTCTGTTCAGCAATGATAGCAGCTTGTTCATTCACCATATTAGTTAGGTCAGGTTTTGAGGTCAAAATTGGTGAGGGTGAAGAGTCATCACTTAAAGATCCAGCAATGCGAGATCTTTTATTAGACGTATCTTGTGATTTTGGGGATGGTTGAGAAACATGGAAAACTATTAATGGATCTTTTTCTTTATTAATAGCAGTTAAAGGAGGTTCTGTAGACATAATTGAAGAAGAAGCCTGAAGAGATTCAAGTTTAGCAATTCTAGCGTCAAGATCATTCATATTCTTTTTCATATTGGAGAGAATTGAGAGAATCTGATCTAATTTATTATTGATTTCGTTATTCAGATTGTGAATAGAATCCTTCACAGTTGGTTTGATAACATCTTTTGGTGGTGGAGATGGTATAGTATTCTTGTTTTTGATAACCTCAGAATAAGATTTGGAAAAACAGTTTGATCGATTAGGATCAACAAATTTTCTAAAGCCAGCAGGTTTGTATTTGTTGTAGAGTCTTTGCATTGAATTATTTTGAGTGGGTGTCTTCAGTTTAATAGGTTCTTCATTGTCATTTGGTGTAACTGATTTTCGTAAAAAAAGGCATTTGATAACAAGATGAGCTGGATCGCTACATTTGTGACAGCTTCTAGCATTAGGAGAACACCACATTAGTTGATTGTTACCAAAAGCAAAATTTTGTTGAGTTGTATGGTTAAGAGCTTCTTCATTTTCAAAATGTAAAATAACAAAAGGACGAGGCTTATAATTGTTGGATCTAGGAATATAACTAGCTCTAGCTTTAGTAGCCAGAATAATATCATGTAGGTCTCTTGCAGAGGTACCAAAAGGAAGATTTGTTAATTTGATGCGATGTGTATTCCTATATTTAATTTCTTCTGGAAACAAAGAGCAAGGATTGACACGAACGGAATCATTTTGAACGAAATGACTCCATACTTAATGACATAGCTCAATGCATTTAGGGTTTTTGTAAGTAATGTAGGCATGTTGCCACATACCTCTTACTGTCATTTTAAAATTGGTAATAGATCCATATTTGGCAAAAACTTGTTTGATATTTGCAGGCTTCATTTGTAGTGTAATATCAGTAACGTGGATAGTTTTCTCGTTGAATTGCATATCAGCCTTGTATTGGGAGAAATCACAGAAAATGTCGATCTTAAGATCAGGAATAATCACGTGTAAGGCTGCGGCAGTCTCGTCTAACATCATAAAATAGATAATTACAGAATGCGTCAAATTAATGCGATGAACTGAAGCTCCTCAAAAATCGTCATTTTGAGTAAAAACATTATTGATAGCGAGAATAATTTTGCTGTTGTTCTTTTCTTTGGGTGTAAACTTAATATGAGTAGCAGCTGCAAAGGGAGTAGCTTTGGTAACAACTGTAAAATCTTTTAGGTCTTCTTCCATATTAGGGTCCAAAAGTTTTGACGTATCTTTGGTTGAAGAAGAGTTTTCAGGATATTATCAACTTTGTTGTTATTATTATTGTTGTTATTCGAAGGTGGAATAGCTGGTGAAAATTTATTGGGAGTGGCAATTTTAGATACGTCAAAGAATTCAAAATCCATTGTTTTTTCTGATAGCGAACCAAAAACTTCTTGAACAATTTCTAAATCTAAGTTGGTAAGGACAGAAGTTAAGGTTGAAGAAGACGAAGGAGCTGGTGTAGAAATAATAGCTTCCTTTGGGGCTTTAAGAGTGACGTATGGAACGAACTTGGGGTCACTAATTTTTTGTTGTTTTGCATTGCTTTTATGCGTCATAACTCTTTCGCGTAGTGAAAAAGGTGGTTAAAACAAAAGAAACCTTCTTTATACTGGGTTTATTAATTAATTTTTTGTTAAAAACGAACTTTTAAATTTTTTATTTTTCTTACGAAAATTTTGGTTTTGTAAAATAGGGGAGAGAGTTTTTTATATACATATTTTTTTTTTTTTTTTGATGTGGCTCTGCCAACTATTTTATTAAGATTTATAGATTTTTCCGAAGAAAATAAATGCATATTAAATATGCATATATATATATTATACTACGCAGATAAATTGTTCGTATCACAAATTCCCTAATTCAAAACATTTATTAATTAATTCATGTTGATTTGTACGATACACATCCCAATTAAGCGAAAAAGTTAGTAAATTTAGTAATGATCACTACCAATTTTTCACTCAATAATATCTCTTCGTTAAATTAAATTAATGAATTAATCACCACTGATTTAACACTAATTAATCTTAGGTTCAACACTAATTAATCTAAGGTTTAACATTAATTAATCCCTATAGAAATTTATTAAATAATTATAATTTGATTTACTATATATTTATAATATCTGTTACTTTTCTAAATATGGATTTTATATAATTGTAGTCTTTGGAAAATTTGAAGGTGGAGATTTAGTTTTGAATGAAATTAGTATCATAATAGAAGTAAAGTGTGAATTTATAATTTTAATACAATCTACACTTTTAAAGCATTATAATTTTAAGGTTTTAAAAAATAGATTTTCTATAGTGTATTATTTGAATAAATAATTTTATAATAAAATCTAATTTTTTACCATTAAATAACCTTTTTTTTAAATTATATATTATTAAAAATTATGACTAATCAAATCTTATACTAAATTTAATATAAACTAAAATTTTTTTTTTGTCGATTACAAATCAAAAATAAAAAATTTTTATTATATGCCAATATTTTTTAAAAATATTCTTAATTGTTTAATTATACGCCAATATTTTTTTAAAAATTATTCATCTAGTGATTATCTTAAAATTTCACTTCATTTATAATTGATAAATAATATATATATATAAACTAATAACTCTATCTACTTTTAATTTTTAAAAAAAAAATTATATCTTTTCATACATATCAATATTATATTTTTAATACAAACCTTTCATCAGAATTATCATTAAATTATTCAAATAATCCTAAAAATATGTTAAGACAATTGTAAAATCAATTATAATCATGTCAAATTGCAAATTCTAGACATATTCTTTCTTCTTCTATTGCTTCAACTTATTTACCTATTGATTCTTGGATACTGAGTACAAAATTTTTAAATCTTCAAAACAAATTTAATTTAAATATCTTAAATCAATTTATTTATGCTACATGTGCATTTTGTGAACGCTTAATGTATCCTGAAAAATGTGAATGGTTAAATTATGATGAAACTTTATTTTATTCTCATTTACAAGTGTATCCTGAAAACAATTTGAATTACTATTAACATTTCATATTAAACTTCCAAAATATATTGCTATATGTTTATCATATAAAAATCCTACAAAAAGATATATATTTCCATTTCTTTATTCTATTTTAATTAAAATTCAAGCACTTCCTCTAGAAAAAAGAATGTATTATCTCCTGTATTTATGTATTGTTTTTTAGGTAGAAATTCTAACTAAAGTGCAATATATTCAGAATATAAAACATTAACTTATATAATGAATTTTTCAAAAAATATGCATTCATTAATATCATATTCTGGAATGATTAGTGCTTATATTGAAGATAATGATTCAATGTCAGATACTTCTTAGCTTAATGATATGTTAATCACAGCAGCTAATTGGTTAAAATTATATAATCTTTTCTTAAAAAATTATTCACGTCTTTTAAATCTTTCTGATTCTAATACTGTAAATCCATTTCCCAATGCTTTTTATTTATCTAATGATAATTCTGCACCACCATTTTTACCTAATAAAATTATAGTACCAAATGTTAATTTTAACATTGAAATTCACAATAAAGATTATTATTATTAATACTTAATGGTAGGATTTATTAAAACTCCTGATAATATATTATTACCCTTAAGTATAAATGATCCAAATCTAAAAGGTTTATTATTTACTGACTTATTTCCAAATGAAAAAGGATACTATCAAATTATGAAACTTAATTTCAGCATACAAAAAATTACATGTAAAGAAACTTATTCTAAATATATTAAACAATGTACTTAATATAAATTCTCAATTTAGACTTCATCATAAATAGATGGCATAATCATATTTACAATTAGAAAAAATTCGAAATCATCAAAATAATCAATGAATTCTAAGATATAATCAAGCTGATACGATTCATTGATTGCCAACTGCAGCACAAATTATTGAAAGGTCAAGCTATTCTAATAGACAAATAATAAAATAAATCTATAACAACTATATTGCCAACTTTTATTTGTACTGGTAATATTTACTTTCATAAAAAGGAACTTTATGTAAATACAATGATTTTTTCATATGGTTTACTATCTTTATTTATCATGCTTATGATAGCAGAAAATCATTGGATACATTTACATAGAATTTTAAAAGCAATAGATAATCATAATACTATATCAACAAATAGATCTTTACACAGTATATTACACTTTATACATTGTTTTTAATAACTTAAAAAACACATTGGAAAAAACCTGCGTATTTAAAATGTGATGAAATTGAACACTTTTTTGAAAGAGTAGAATTTTAAAATCATGATGCATACATATGGTATATATTAGATTACAAAAAAAATTGAACAAATAATTGCTAAGAATCTTATAAGATCTAATTTACCAGATCCAATTACTGAACCAGATTATATGCAAAAGTAATAGCAAATCAAATTCATACATATAATTTAAATGTGGAGGTCTGGCAATACTAGGGCAAGTTTGCAAAAAGAAATTTCCTTATCCCTTTTCTTTAATTACATACTATGATAATAATGCATAACATTATGTATATAGATGTATAAAACCTGAAGATCAATAGGTAGTTCCTTATCATCCTGAAACTTAGTTATTTGGAATGCTCACATGAATATACAATATGTCAGTTCTCGTAAGTTAGCTTTTTATTTAACAAAATATTTAGCTAAAGTGGAACCTTTTCATATTTTTAATATGAAAGAAGGTAACAAATTTAAAGAAGATGTAATAGCTCGAAAATTAGATTCAATAGAATTAATGTTCTTAATATTAGATGAAACAATTTGTAATTTATCTTGTTTAGTTATGTATCTTACTACAGATCCTCCTACAAGTAGACAAAAAGCTATTCATCCTATTTATTTGATTAATGAAGAAGAAGAAGATCCCTATTGGAAAAATCATGTCAAAAAATATTTTGATCGACCTGATTATGAAGAATTTAACAATATAACTTATTCAAATTATTTTAAAATTATGAAGTAAATACAATTTGTCCTTTAATGAGAAGGCAACGTATTTATACTAATCAATTAGATAATTATGTGACAAAAAGAACCATTCCAAAATTAGTTAGATTTCGTTATTTAAAATTGCAAGATGGTGAAATATATTTTATCAAAAACTTTTACCTGAAATTTCTTATCGATGTGAAGAAGAAATACTTGGAAATTATCTAACTTATATAGAACATTAGTTGCATTATCATCCAAAATTATATGAAATAATGTAACAAATAACTCAAGAATATTTCGATCTCAACAATTAAAATTAGATGTCACATTCATTCAAGTATTAAATACATTGCTTGATAATTTACAATCTATCCTTCCAATTTCTATATTAGAAATTATTTGATATTCAACTTAAATCTTTGTGACTTAATTCACCAATTTATACTCAATGCAATGCATTAAATCTTCCAAATGATCAGTTAAATACAATTTTAATTATTCGTAATATTTTAGATTTAAGAATACAAAAAAAATAAATATCCTTATTTTTTTATTACTGGTTCAGCTGGAATAGAAAATCATTTATAATTAATTTAATTATAAAAAATTTACGAAAAAATTAAATTACTTATTATTAGCTTCAACTGGAGTAACAGCTCAGAATATTAAAGGAGAAACCATACATTTTGCATTAAGAATTCATGAAACTTTTGGCAAATTCTAATCCTTGGCTTTTTATAATATTGAATTTTTTAAAACTTTAAAAAAAATCGATACTTTAATATTTGATGAAATTTCAATGCTTTCTGCAAAACTTTTTAGTTTCATTTCTGATATGTTTTCGATTATTCAGTAATAAACAATAGCATTTTGTGAAATAAATATAATTATTATAAGTGATTTAGCACAATTACCTCCAGTTTCTGAATTACCAATATATAAATATTTAGAATGAAAATTATTTTATCCTTTATTTCTAAGACAACCATAAAGACAAATTCAAGATTTGCAATAATATAATGTATTACAAAAAATTAGATTAAATGAAATGTCTTTAACTACATAAAATCTTTTATATCAAAAAGCTAGAAATTTTGATCACCAACAACTGCTTGATATTACACTTAATTCTACAAATATCATTGAATATAAATAAACTGCTAATTGAATTAATCGTCTTATTTGTAATATGTTTCCAGTGAATGAAAACAAATTTTTTATTAGCACAGCCATTGATTTCATTAATATACAACAATATGATCCTGAGATTTCCAAAAATTATTTAAAAAGAAGACAAATCTACCAATTTATTTACGTTTACAATAAGATGCACTTGTAATGTATCTTAAAAATAATTTAATTCAACAAAATATTTGTAATAGAACTATTGAAATTGTAACCGATATTGATCTGAAAGCTTTAGAAGTAAGGATAGCATTTAGTATAATGAATGGAATTGTTGATATTAGAATAAAGAGAGAAATATATCATTTATGATTGATGAAAAATTATTAAGCAGATGCTAATTTTCATTATAAAATGCTTTTGCACTTACATTGCATAAAACACAAAAATTAACTTACCA